GGGTTTCCAAGGAGCTAAAAGCCAGCTTCCTACAGCTCCTTGGAGCGCAGCCTGGGCGCTGGGGGAAGGCACACGGGCCAGAGAGGAGTCACGGGACCCATCCCCCAGCCCTGTTGCGTTCTTTGCAGAAGAGCAAACTCATACCCAGTCCACCTTGCCCATGAGGGTGCCATGAAAATCAGACGAGAGAATGGAGGGGACTCACCTCTGCCCCTTTCGCACACAGTCCTGAGACTTGTGGGTCTTGTACGTATTTCTTCTACACAACCTGAGGGTGCCAGGCACTCGCCAGGTGCTGTCGGTTAAAGATGAATAAGGCGCAGCACCAGCGTCCTGCCAGCTCCGAGCTCTGGGTGCAGGAAGAGGGGTCGGAAAGTATTCAGTGAGTTGAGCCAGCGTGCAGGCATGTGCCAAGGGCTGAGGTAGCGCAGGGGAAGCCAGGATGCCAGATGTTTCCTGAACCGAATCTTAGAGCCAGATGGGAATTACCGGGTGGAAATGAGGAGTAGGTTTTCAGCGGAGGAGTGGAAGATGGGTGTGCAGGGACCGAGGTGCCGGGAGGCAAAGGGTGTTCAGCGCACCGCAAGAAGTCCGTGTGCACGAGGTGGGGCCAGCAGAAGGTTGGAAGTAAGCATGTGGAAGGGGGAAGAATCGCTGCGCCTGCCTCCGAGGAAGGGTGGTGGAGCCGAGTGGGCTGGGAAACCAAGGCAGGGAGTGCCCTAGCTATGGTTCCCAGCGTGTTCCAAGCGCCACACGGGCCTTGGTTTTATATGTGGTGTATCAGTGACTTTTCACAAGAACCCAGTGAGGCGTAGGCATTCTCACCTCCGTCTCACAGGAGCACGCTCAAGGAAGTGAAGTGACCTGCCGCAGGGCACAGCCCTGTCCAGTGGCGGAGCAGGAATCCGAACCTGCGATCTGTGTGATTGCAGGACCCGCGCTCTTCCCACGATACAGAGAGGAAGTTCACCTTCTGCCCGGTCGTGCATTGTGACAGGTAGCGGGGGAGTTTATTGTACATTTTAGAAAGATTTCCACTCAGAATGGTTCAGGTAGAAGCTTTGGTGTGAAAACTTTACTTTTCTGGCACCTTTTCCTTTGGCCAGATCAGATTTAGGGATCTCGGTCAAATTAGTTCACAAGAACATCAGATGGTATCGTGGTTACAGCCACAGGCTCCGAAGCCAGACCGGCTGCGTTCAGATGGTCGCCCCACCACTCCTGCGTGTATGACCCTGGATCTCGGTTTCCTCATCTTTAAAGTGGCAGTGGGGCACCTGGGTGGCTCAGTCGGTTGAGCATCCGTCTTCGGCTCAGATCATGATCTCCCCGCTCGTGGGTTCAAGCCCTGCACCAGGCTCTGTACTGACAGCTCGGAGCCTGGAGCCTGCTTCAGATTCTCCCTCTCTCTCTCTCTCTCTCTCTCTCTCTCTCAAAAATAAATAAACATTTTAAAAAATTAAAATGGCAGTGATGGGGTACCTAACTGCCTCAGTCAGTAGAGCATGCAACTCATGATCTTGGGGTCATGAATTTGAGCCCCATGTTAGGTAGAGAGATTACTTTAAAAAGTTAAAAAAACTTTTTTAAATAAAAATGGTAGTAATAATGGAATTTACCTCATAGGGTTGTTGCCAGGCTTAAATGAGTTTCTACAGTAAAGCTGTCCTGCAGCGTCTCCTAGACGGTATTAGTATCAGTGAAGCAGTTGGATTCTTGTCATCAGGAGAAGAAAGCCAAGCTGTATTTTTAAGATCCATGTTATGTTTTGCCTTAACCCCCAAATGTTTTATCCTTTAAAAGTTCTTAAACTAGAGTCTTGGATTGGCTTGAAGAGGGGTTTTCATCAGATTGTCAAAGAGTTCTATTTCCCAAAAGAGTTAAACATGACTGCTTTATAAAAAGCGTGAAGAAAATTCCTCTTTGAGGGTTCCTGGGTAGATCTGTTGGTTAAGTGCCTGACTCTTGATTCTGGCTTAGGTTGTGATCCCAGGGTCATGGGGTCGAGCCCCGCGTTGGGCTCTGCACTGGGTACGGAGCCTGCTTGAGATTCTCTCTCTGCCTCTGCCCACGCGCCCACTCACACTCTCTCTTTCTAAAAGGAAGAAAAAAGTTACTCTTCGAAAGGTCTTGATACTGTGATATATGTCATCACACACTTAAAAGGAGGTTCTGGCTGCAAAATTACAACACTGTGAGTCACACTTAGTGGATTTGTTGGCAGTCTTCTGCTGCTAACAATAAAGTTTCCAAGTTTTTGAAATATTAGCATTCTATTAGGGGGAGTCAGTGTTGTTCCGGATGTATGTTTTCTTGCATTAGAAAGTCTAGAGTGGAATTACTGGCCTTGCGTTTGGAGTCACATGGAAATGTGCTGTGTGCACAGAGATCGTCCATTATTTGTGTATTTCTAACCACAAACCTACCTTTAGAAAAATCTCTATGCCCTGGAAAATGTGTAACCATTAAGGCTGAATTCTGAACATTAGGTCCCCAGAAAGGAGTTGCATTCTGCACAGTGGTTAGGTTCCAAAGTCAGCCCATCAGGTGAGAATTGCAAATAGTCCAGGTTTCCCTGGAAACCCCTTAGGAAGGTGGCTTCACAACCAAAAGCTGACAGACTGCGGGTCCAACTGAACGTCGGCCCAGTGCCGCTGGGTTCTCGGCACCAGATGAGGTCACTGGTGTCGGTTCAGAAGCCAGAATTACTCTTTGTTCAGCTGTGCCAGCTACAGGTCTCAGAGTCACACTTGGGTAGTGAGTTGCACACACTAAGAGAGACCTGATCCGGGACAAGCAAATTTATGTTCTTTGTCACACTCACTCCATGGAATAGGTTCTTATTAGCATGGCATCACCCCAACTAATCAGTCTGTGTCTGTCTCTCCCTCTATTCTCTCTCTCTCTCTCTCTCTCTCTCTCTCAAATGGCCAAATATAGAACTTACATGAAGTCCTGTCTGTGTAGCACCCCGCTATTGTATCTGGGGCCCAATAAAAGGGAATTTGGAAGAGGGGAGCATTAGTTAAAAACCTTGGAACATTTGGGGACATGAAGCTGCTCCTCAATTAATAACCAAACGCAGCACCCAGAACTCACTTCCGCAGCATCTCTAAACAGGATGGGCTTCACCAGAAGAATACTAAAAATAGTTTCACTGTCTAAATGAAATTGTTAAAGCATAAAGCCCTTGCTGCTATTTTCTTTATCTGATTTAGGCCAGATGATTTCACTTTATCATCCTTCACCAAAAATATTTTTAAAAAAAGCTTCTGTTGGCTCTTTGGATGCTACAATTTCTATTTTGAAAGATAGAGAGGGAATAGAAAAGAACTCATGGTAGTTTTCCGTTGTAGCATAACAAATTACCGCAGATTTAGCCGTGTGAAACAGCATCCACTAGTAGCTCCCAGTTCTGTACTTAGAAGGCCAGATAGGGCTCAGCTGGGCTCCCAGTCTCTCCCAAGACTGAATCAGGGTGTTGGCCAGAGCTGGGTTCTCCCGACGCGAGTGAGGGGTCCTCTTCAGGTTGTTGGCAGTTTGTTCATGTTGTCGGCAGTTTGTTCATGTTGTCGGCAATACTTGGTTCCTTATAGTTGTAGAACTCATGGCAACCTCTTTTCCTCAAGTTCAGGGTCAGCAGGAGAGTGTCTATTGTTGTGTCTCATCCCTGTCAAGGGCTCACCTGACTGACCACAATGATAAGTCAGGCTCAATCAGGATGGTCTCCCTTTTGATTAACTAGAATTCAACCTACTAGGGACCTTAACTACTGTGGCAAAGTCCCTTTTGCCATGTAACATAACAGTCATGGGAGTGATAGCCCGTCACATTCACCAGTCTTGCTCACACTCACGGGGATGGCATTATCCAGGGCGTGTATAACACGGGGGGCGGAAATCCTGGGAGCCATCTTGGGATTCTGCCTGCCACAGAAATAATAGTGTCATAACATCACTGCACACCTCCCGAAGTGCCAGGTACTGTTTGATTAATTCCCACCTCTGAGTTAAATGGTATTATCCAGGTTTTACTTACACAGAAACTACAGCTCAGGGAAATCAAGCAGCTTGTGTTGCTAATAAAGAGTATGGCCAGGATTCTAAACTAGATTGTTAGCATCCAAAGCCCAGGCACTGGTTATTTTGTCGTATTGTCTTGCTAAATCTTGTCATTCCTTCCTCCCTGCTTGTGGAGGTATCATAATACAGTAAAGAACAAACATGCTTCAAGTAGCACAAAGCAATTTGCTGGAGTGAGAGAGGTTCATCTTACACTGACTACCAAAGAATTGTCTCCAGTTGTTTACCTACTTCTCACGTTGGCCACAAGAATGTGAATAATAAAATAGTGATAAACTACAACTAATAGGATCAGGATCAGGAAAATTATAAGACTAGAAATCAAAAGGAACTAAATGAACAGATTTAACCCTTGGCTTTCTGGTCCCAAAGTAAAGGTTTGAAATGATACGATTCTTCTTTTCAAAGATGAGAAAAATAGACACTCCAGGAGAGGCAAAGATTTTCTTAGCACGGAGTTCTCAAACATGTCATATGGGATTGTACGTAGGTGAATGAAGGGCTTTTCAAGTGATTATCAAGTAGCTGCAACAACTTAAATATCTAGAAATGATGTAGCATGTGGTTTTTACCTTCTAAAGTAAAAGTGGGGGCACCTGGCTGGCTCATTCGGTAGAGCACGCGACTCTTGATCTTGGAGTTCTGAGTTCAAACCCCACTTTGGGTATAGAGATTCCTAAAATATAAAATCTTTTCAAAATAAAAATAAAAGCAAAGCTGGTATTTATTAATTATTACATGTAATTAAAAAATGAAATACAATTGAAAGCTATCCTGTTTAGAAAGCTGGTTAGTGGCTCAGAACTCTTCCCTAGATGACAAAGTACAGGTCTCATTTCTGTTTTGTAACCATGATTCAGGGTCACTCAGCGTGCGTTCTAATGCACTCTTACCTGTTCTGTTTTCACGTGGCACCAGCCAAAAAAGAAGAACATGTCTGCCTACCAGGTGTTCTGTAAAGAGTATCGCGTGACCATCGTGGCTGACCATCCAGGTATAGGTAAGGACACGTCTCATCTGCAGCTTTGGTCCTTTCTAGCCGTGTCTCTGATTAATTCAGCCAGTCAGCAGGCAGCTCCTTCCCTGGGTACCAAAATAGCACAAATCTCATTTCCCCCCCTTCGGTTCTGAAGTCACTCTAGATTCTGTCTTAGTCCACCCCATCCATAAAAGAGAGAAGCTTTTGGCTTATATCTCTTAAAATGAGAAAATGGGAAACTGAATAAAATTAAATGTTAGGGAGCCCCGCACAGAAACACGGAGTTGTTTGCCGCCAAGGTTCTACAGCTGACCTTTCCTTTAATCTGGCCCCTGGGTGTGAGTCATGGTGAGATGACTGACTCACATTGCTTCTGTCTGTCTCTGTGTCAGAAGTTAGTGAGGTGAGAAAAACACTCGCCACAGACCTTGGCAAGTCACTTAACCTCCACAAATCTCATTTGCCTGCTGTGTACAATAGCTTCGCAACCTTCTCATCAAGGTTGTCGTGAGGCCCATGTGAAGTACCATAACAGATACGGGTGCTTTATAAAGCATGACCTTGCTGTACAGATGGGAAGGCAGCATTACACTTCTAGAGGATTGCTTCTGAGCTGCTCGAGGGAAATTCTTCTTTGGTTCTCCGCTCTCAAAACTTGGTAAAAATGTAACATTTTTTAATCAAATTCTATGAAACATGTTTTCTTTAACCTAAGTTGATAAGCTTTGTATAATGAGATCGAATTAAAAGACCTCAGAAAGATGCTGAAGGGACAAATCTCTGGAGAACAGATGTGTGAGAATTTGAACCTGTCTCACTGACCACCAAAACAGCCCCTTCTTTCTCTAGAACAAAGAATCAAGAAAAGTGACGGGATTTTAGTTGGTTTTCTGAAAGAACCTTGTGTTAATTTAAATCTGAGCTGGGAAATCCTTCTTCTAGTTTTTGCTTTTATCAATCTTCTGTTTGGTTTATAGTCCAACCTTCACTGTGTTGCGTTTTTTACTCTTTCATGCCAGACTTTGGGGAACTCAGTAAAAAACTGGCAGAGGTGTGGAAGCAGTTGCCAGAAAAAGACAAACTGGTAAGTGCACTTTTTGGCGAACACAGTTTTCATTGATTTATGCCTTTCAAAATAGGTAATTCTCCTATAGCCCATCAAGCCAACAGTGAAAATAGTGAAAAAAAGTCACAGATAGATAGAAAATGGTTTGGCAGAGGACATTAACACGGGCTGGTGCCAGTTTACTCTACTGTGGATTTAACTGCAGGGAGGCTGTCTTCTCTGGCTTGAGCCAAAAGATGACCTAAGTTAGGGAGTGATTAAGAGTTAAGAGAAAATGTGGGCTGTGTTTACTAAGTGAGTGGGTTGCAGGCCATCATCCTCATCAGCCTTTACCAAACAGTATGCCCTCCTATCAGGAACGAGTAACACAGTGATAACTAGTCCTATCGGAAGCATTCAGGGTCACTTTCCAGCCAGGTAATTGGAAGGTTGGTCTAGGGACTAGAATTACCGTCTTGCTTTACAGCACAGCTCATCTTGGTGAAGCAATGAAATTATTGTCACCCAGGTAAGTTATCTTTAGTCTCTGTTTTCCATGTTATTGTCATCCTGTTATTGGTGTTGCCAACCGGCAGATCAGAAGAACTGTTTGAACCACACGGACATCATACTGAGCCAGATGTTTACCCTATGATTTTCCATTTCGACCTTAGAGTGACTTCACAATCCCTGCTGGGCCCTGACCTTTAGCGGGGAGGAACGTTTGCAGTCCTCCACTGAGATATCACTGTAGTCACCATCTGAAGCCTGTTCGGTAACCCTTAGCTTCCAAGTTAGCATTAAGGGACACCTGGGCAGCTCAGTCACTTGAACATCCATCCGTCCATCTTCCGCTCAGGTCGTGTTCTCACAGTTCATGAGTTCAAGCCCTGCATCAGGCTCGCTGCTGTCAGCATTGAGCCCTCCTCGGATCCTCCCTCCCCACTTTCTTCCCCTCCCCTGCTCATGCTCTTTCTCAAAAATAAACATTAAAAAAAAAGTTGGCATTAACCTCTGCCCCCTCCGGGGTTTCCTTTCCCTTTCTTCATTGTCCTCTTCCATGACGGTTCCCTTTTACATTTTGTCCTGATTCATTTATCATAATTTATTTTGATCTGATCTCATTGCAGATTTGGAAGCAAAAAGCTCAGTATCTGCAACACAAACAGAATAAAGCAGAAGCTACAACTGTGAAAAGAAAAGCCTCCTGCTCAGAAGTTCCCGTGAAAGTAAAAGGTAGTGACTCCAGCCCTCCTTTCCCGAGAGCATGGTGAATTTTGCTTCCTAACTAGGAAATTGGGAGAGCAGCCTATGTCAGAAGCAGATCTTGATATCCAGATACTACTACTGAATATTACAGATTGCAAAAAAAAAGAAAGAAAGAAAAATTAGAAAATAGAAGTCAGCAAATGTTTTCTATAAAGGGGCAGAGAGTAAATACTTTAGGTCTGTGGGCCATAGGCATTCTTTGTCACATACTCTTCTTCATTTTATCTACAACCATTTAAAAATGTAAAGCCATTCTTAGCTCACAGGCTATGCAAAAGTATATACAGATTTGGCCTACAGTCCACAGTTTTGCTAATGCCTGGTATAGCTCATAAAAGGGGAAAATCAGGAAGAATTTTTTTTTAATTTTTTTAAACATGTATTCATTTTTTGAGAGACAGAGCACAAGTTGGGGAGGGGCAGAAAGAAAGAGAGAGGGAGACACAGAATCCGAAACCAGCTCCAGGCTCTGAGCTGCCAGCACAGAGCCTGATGGGGGGCTTAAACCCATGAACCGCGAGATCACTACCTGAGCCAAAGTGGGTCACTTAACCGACTGAGCCCACCAGGCACCCTGGGAAGAACGTTTATGTGATGTTCCAGGCCATGGGTAAGCTTTATCTCTCTATTTTGTCTCTGTTCTCAGCTTCCTCTGCAGGAGTGCTGTCACCCCAGAAGAAATCCCCACCCACCACCATGCTGTTACCAGCCTCGCCAGCCAAAGCCCCTGAGACAGAGCCCATCGATGTCGCTGCTCATCTACAGCTGCTGGGAGAGTCCCTAAGCCTCATTGGACACCGCCTGCAGGAGACCGAGGTGAGTGAGACTATGAGCATAGCTCCAGTTTCTGATACGATGTGAGTCCATTTCCTCCTTCCATGTGAACCCAGCCAGCAACTACTGCTCTTTTGTGTGAGATTATGCCAGGTGCTCAGGATACAGTGACAAAGAAGATACATGCTCGTAAAAACACCTAGAGACTGGGAATCTACTGGCTCTCGAAGTCTGCACTTACCCCCTTCTATTGAACAATGGCACAAACAGAAGTTAGGATATCCTATAATTTTTCCTCCCAGTTTTTATTGAGATACAATTGTAATTGTATCCATATCATCCTGTAATTCATTCTGACTTTTTAAAAAATGCAATGGAAAGAAATGAATACAAATCCCATGGAAGTTTTGATCATTTGTACTTCTAAGAGAGTTTGCATTTTTCTGCACATTTCCAGCAAGGTCTTAAAAAGAGTAAATTATATAGGGATTAAGACTTCCTCTATTTCTTTGCAAATAGGTAGCAAATAGGGAAATTGAGGTTCTCAAGCTCCTCATTACTCTGCGCTTGAATTATACAGTGCTGTGTGCCCCCAGGGAGATCTTTGTCCTTTTCAGCTTCAATTTCAAAATCACTTAACCTGAAAAGCTGTCATGTTCCATTTCTATTACCGTATTCAATTTCTAATCATATTGCCCCCTTGGCTAACTCCATAGTGTAGTATTTCAGTTTTCCACTGGGTCCTAATAGGACATTTCAGCAAAGAAATCAGTCTCTGCTGCTAAAGCCATAAAAATCAGTGTGGAATATAAAACTATTCACTTCTCTGTGGAAGTTGAATTATTATTCAACAAATAAAATGCCAAAGGACACAAAAGATGACGGTTACCTAGGTTTTCTGGCTAGTTTTAATAAATTAGCAGACTTCAAAACAACTAGGGTATTTCTATATAGGCTCAGATATTTAAATGGTTGTAGACATTTCCAGAGTAAAATATTCTGGGATCCTTACTTACTTTTCATATTTAGTCATTCTTAGTTTCCTAAAAAGTTAGAAGTAAAAATGATTTGTTCCATGCACTTTCATATTCCAGACTTCCCCTGGTATTTCCATTTAGTTTAGAGACTATTTGTTGAGGGCTGCCTGGATGGCTCAGTCAGTTAAGCGTCTGACTTCGGCTCAGGCCATGATCTTACAGTTCGTGGGCTTGAGCCCTGTGTCGGGCTCTATGCTGACAGCTAGCTCAGAGCCAGGAGCCTGTTTCGGATTCTGTATCTCCCTCTCTCTGACCCTCCCCTGCTCACACTGTCTCTCCCTCTCTCAGAAGTAAATAAAACATTAAAATAAATATATATATTTTAAAAAGAAACGATTTTGAGTACCTACACATTGTTTCAAAAACTTGTGGGAGTAGGGGCACCTGGGTGGCTCTGTCGTTGAGCATCTGACTTCATCTCAGGTCTTATACTCATGGTTTGTGATTTCAAGTCCCGCGTGGGGCTCTCTGCTATCAGCGCAGAGCCCACTTCAGATCCTCTGTCTCTCTGTGCCCCTCCCCCCCCCAAAAAATGAATAAACATTTATTTAAAAAAAAAAACTTGTGGGAGTAGAAAATCTGACTTGCTGCCTGATGGTTTCCTATCATCAGGAAACTTACAGTTTCATTGCAAAGATAGAACATGTACGTAATTAGCAATTAAGGGGCGCCTGGGTGGCTTATTCAGTTAAGCATCTGACTCTTGATTTCAGTTCAGGTCGTGATCTCATAGTTCATGGGTTCGAGCCCTGCATTGGCTCTGTGAGGACAGCATGGAACCTGCTTGAGATTCTCTCTCTCCCTCTCTCTCTCTGCCCCTCCCCTTCTCGTGATCTCTTTCTCTCTCTCTCAAAAATAAATAAATATTTAAATTTTAAAAAAAAGAAAGAAAAGCCAGTTTCTGTGAGCAGCTGCTTAGAAAAAGTAATACACACATGGTGACCAGAAAAGGGAAAGACTCAGTGCACCTGGGTAGCTCAGTCAGTTAAGTGTCCGACTTTAGCTCTGGTCACGATCTTGTGAGTTTGAGCCCCGTGTTGGGCCCTATGACTTGGGCAGGTTCTCCAGCCCACTTTATTTTAGGTAACAGTCTTATTGAGATATAATTCACATACCTTAAAGTTCACCTTTTGAAACTATAGAATTTAGTGGTTTTTCAGTATATTCACAAAATTGTGGCCCCATCACTACCATCTAATTCCAGAATATCTTTGTTACTTTCGAAAGAAATTCCATACACATTAGTGGTAATTCCCCATCCCTTCCAGTCCATTTTTTCCCAGACTTCTATTACTTGCCTACATCCTCACAATTTGTGGTTTCGTTGTACCACACTTATTCACCTTATATTTTTATTTAAATAAATCTATCCATTCTTTCACAAGGATGTCCTTGATGCAAGTCTGATATCCTCAGTTTTTTTTTCAAATACAGGGCATCACAATGGGCATACGTCAGAATGCTCAGTGTTGGCCTATATGCCACCTGAAACTACATGCTGCACTGTAGGAACATTGCTGTCTACAAGTCACTCGTTTATAGATTGGATACCAGGAGCCTGATAACTTTAAGTGACGACTACAGATTGACGCTCTGTGCCTCACTCCTGCCCTTGTCTCCCCGAGGCTAGCTGATGCAGCGAGAGGAGCTAGGGAACAGTGAGAGCTGGGGGCGGGGTGGTCAGGAGGGAGGGGTTCTGTGAAAGAGAGGTGATCTTCCAACAGGGCCTGGAGGGGTCTGGAGGGGTTTGTCTCGCGGAGACATTGGAAAGAGACCCTCCAAACCGGAAAACGGTGTGCATCTCTGCTCCTCGAACTCGGGGTCTTCTACCAACATGGATGAAAGGAGCCCCCCCCCCCTCCCACTTTAACCAGATCCTCTACCGGGCTTTTATATTGGGACTCCACCCCCCGGGGGGGGGGGGGGTATCTTTTTTACTGAAATTCCAGTTAGTTAACATACAGTGTAATATTAGCTTCAGGTGTGCGATTCAGCACTTCCCACATCACCGGTGCTCATCATGCCCTGCTCAGTCCCCTTCCTGTTTCACCCGCCTCCCCTCCAGTGACCAGCAGTGGGTTCTCCATAGGTAAGGGTCTGTGTCTTGGTTTGCCTCCCTCTCACTCTTTTCCCCCCCTTTGCTCATTTGTTTTGTTTCTTCCACGTCAGGTTTTATTTGAAAAAACGTTTTTTACTGCTAAAATGATGAAAATTTAGACCATCTTTCACATAAGATGGAGGAAGGCCGAAAATTAAGGCTATAGCCCAGATTACAGACGGCCTTGGACCCTCTCAAGTGTTTATTCTCTGCTATTGAGGAACTACAGGGGTTTGGGGGTTTTTTGGTTTGTTTGTTTGTTTGTTTTTTGAGTTGGGAAGGATGTGATCAGCGCTCTCATTTGGTTTCCTCTGAAAGTGTCTTCTGTTTTAGATTGGGAGTGCGACCTGACTTGGGGAGAAGTTATGTAACAGTAATGCAGTCCAGACATGACAGAGATTTGAATTAAGTCAACAGATATTTATTGAGGGCTTACTCTATGCAGAATACCAGTGATTACTGAGACGATATAAAAAGGAATGCAACATGGCTCCTGCCCTTATCATTCACTGGGAGAGTCCGACATCAAATATTAGCTATAATTAACTGTAGGCCCAAAGTAATGGAACCATATTATTAATTGCTAACAGGTTGACTGCTTAGTCAGTCAGCTTTGGTTCAGAGTGCTTTCTATCAATTCTTTCATGTAATTCACGCCGCAGCTTTGTGGGGAGAATTTTTTGTTCCCTTCCTTTTACAGAAGAAAAAACAGATGTAGAGAGACTCAGTAACTTGCTCTGGAGCTCAGCACCTAAGTGCTAAAACAGAGGCCTGAATTTGGTGGCGCAACTCGAGGTCCATGCTCTTAAGCCCTTGCTGCATGGCCCCCCTTGCAAGAAGGAAAGGGGAGGGAAGAGTCAGCCATGGCAAGGCCTTGAGTCTGGCCAGTGATGTGAGTGGTGGTGGCCTCAGCAGAGAAGGGCTGCTCGGAGGAGGGCAGGTGGCTTCACAGCACGTTGAGATTTGGAAACTTTCAAACTGACAGACCTAGCAGGCAGCCAGAAATGCAGTTTGGGAGGCGAAGATTTTGCTAATAATGGTAATAATTACTGATACTTTTTGAACACTTAACCATGTACCCGGCACCTTCCCAAATACCTTGTACCTATTATCTTCCTTAATCCCCTCTGTGTAGGCTATTGTCTGGGCACAGCATAGGCAGCATCGTGCCCCAGGACAGGGGCGGGGGGCGTGGAACCCAGCAGTCCTGAGCCCGGAGCTCCTTCTCTGAAGGACTGTGCTGTGTTCCTGGCTGACACAGCCTCACAGGGCTTCTAGCTAAAGCAGGTGACACAGGAGCTAGGCAGGCACATTTGCAGTGAGCGATCCTATTTCTTACCTGTTTGAATCACAGAGAGACATTGTGAATTGGGCAAAGTGTTAAAATTTGAAAGGAACCAATTTCACTTCTTTCTGAGGGTGAACAACTCAACCCAGAAAAGTGGTGTCACCAGCTGTCAGAAAGCCCCACACGTGGAGAAGTGTGCATATGTCTGTGTTAAATGGTCATGTGTAGGGCTGTAGAACCCTCAGTTCTCACGCTGCAGCTAGATTTGTGGAGCTCCTAAGAAAAGTAGTTTTTGCCCACATGACCTCCACAGATCTTCCCAGGAGCTCTCTGGAGTAGGGAAGGCCAAGTGGCCAACCCTAGGTTGCACAGAGGGTAAGATGGGTGAGGAATATAGAAAGGGAACCTGGGAACGTATTGTAAAAGGTTTCTTTTTAAACAACTTACAGAGTTACCAAAGCAGATACCTTCCATTTCTGCTGCAAGTTGCATAGCACGGGCAAGACTTAAAAGAACAATGTAAGGCTGGGGCGCCTGGGTGGCTTAGTTGGTTAAGCGTCTGACTTTCGCTCAGGTCATGATCTCGCAGTTCATGGGTTTGGGCCCCGCGTCGGGCTCTGTGCTGGCTGCCAGCTCGGAGCCTGGAGCCTGTTTCAGTCTGTGACTCCCTTTCTCTCTGACCCTCCCCTGCTCACGCTGTCTCTCTCTCTCTCCTAGAAATAAATAAAACATAAAAAAATTAAAAAAAAAAAAAAAGAACAATGTAAGGAAACCACCAGAACGTGGAGGGAACCTCAGGAGTGGGACTTGATTACAACCTGCTCTCCCTTACTGCTCTCCTTGCAGGGCATGGTGGCCGTGTCCGGCAGTCTGTCCGTGCTTCTGGATTCCATCATCTGTGCGCTTGGCCCCTTGGCATGTCTGACCACACAACTACCTGAACTGAACGGCTGTCCCAAGCAGGTCTTGGTGAGTTTTCCCTGTGTTCCTTGGAGTTTTTCAGCCAGACCCCTCAGGAGCCACAGAGGCCCTGCCTCCACGAGCTCTGAGGGCACAAGCTCACGAGGCTTCCTGGCGGATGGCACGCCCTCCATGTATTGACCCAAGAACACAGTCCTGGGCCACTGAATACATGCTGTGCTTTCCGTGCAGCTAGGAAAAGTGCCACTTCCCTGAACAGCCCTACGGAGAGACGCTTCCAGCCCCTGAGGGGCCGCACCTCCCGTCTTGCCCCTCTGCTCTTCTACACCCAGACGGAGCAGGAGGCTTCTGCCTCTTTTCCACGAGGATTAATGGGAGGAGTCCGCGGAAAAGCTCCTAGGGGAGCAGACGGCACGGTGCCGGCTTCACTCTCTCACTCTCAGTTTCCTCTCTCCTCTCTCTCCTCTGAACAAGGAAATAGGGCTCGGGGAACTAAGGTAAAGTACTCTGCAGCTGAACCTTTTCCCTTGTTTTGCAGTCAAACACATTAGACAACATTGCTTACATCATGCCTGGACTGTGACAGCGAGGAGCCCCGGGACAGAGACCTCGTCCTCCCCATTGCTGGTGTGTGTGTATGTGGGTGCTCCAGATCGCTGGTCTCCGGGCACAGGCTTCGAATTTTTATATATATACATATACATATACATATATATAATGTACAATATATACATAGGACTGTAACTACTTTGCTTTTAATAATTTTATGAAATGGCAAAGGTTTAGCCAAGAGGAAACCTTGGCATGAATATGGACTTGGGATTCTTTTTTCTCCTGTGGTGGATCAATCTGCCTTAAAAATCAATGAAACTTGGGGGCTGGGGGCTTGTTCTGGGTGCCAAGGGCATCTCTTTATGGACAGCTAAAAATGTGATTTTTTTTTTCCAACTCAGTTGTACCTCCAGACCCATCACTGACCATTTGCCTTACCTGTCTCACAGTCTGAAATGTAATAGGAAAGATTATGGGAAGATGCCAGTTGACTGAAAGTACAAAGCCTTGCAATGTGAAGTGACCTAGGTTGGAGGTGATAAAATCGTTCCCATCTCCCAGTTACTTCAGTGGCTTAGGTGAACTTTGTAGGGGTTCATTCCGTTTCCTGCTATACCAGTGTCCATGTCTCAAAATTTATCGTAATCTTTGGTACCATTAGCAGCCTCAGTAGGGCCCAGGAGTTACGTGAGCCCCAGCAGCGTGAAACACCTTGGAGAGAGGGTAACGCTGTCGCTGCACAAGTTGAACATGTATTGTGAGCAGATCCAGAATATTCCATCTGCAGAACTAATTGCTGGTATCTTCCATCGGTGACATTCGCTTAGCCACCGAGTCCTCACAGGTTTTGCTGCTTAGTTGCTTGATGGCTGTGGAAGATGAACTTGGCCCAGCGTGATTCTTGGGTTCATCCGATTGGCTCCCCTGGTGGGCAGATACCCAGTGTTCTGCATTCCACACATAAGTGAATTGCAAAAAGAGTACTCAATTCTCATGTAGGTTTATTTATGTGCGCTCGTGACTGTGTGTTTTAATTATGTGTATTTAACTCTTTAAAATCTCTTAGATTTTAATTTATCCTGTAAATTTCTGTATATATAATTTAATAACAAAAGCCTCCACCAGCAACAGCATGTGGAAGATACAGATTTGTCATTTCTTCCCTCCTCCTTTCCTCTGATCCCCTCTGAAAACTCCCAGATCATCTACATTTTAAGGTATCGTGCCTCATAAAAGGAATCATTATGTCAGGATTCTAATTCTTTATAATTCAATAATGTCAAGAAAGTAAAATTAAAAGGAATGTTACCATTCCCAGCTGCCCACTTTTCCAAAGAACCAGACTTTTGCTTCCCAGTTCCAAAGAAGACAGCTGAGCACTTGAGGGTTGTTTTTCAGTTTGGTGTGGGGTTCCAGCCAAAACTAAGCTCCAAGGGGACTGTGATTTCTTCCCTGGCCGAGGCAGAGGGGACTGTGCTTTCTTCCCCTGGCCGGGGCAGAGGGGACTGTGCTTTCTTCCCCGGCCAGCCGAGGCAGAGCGCTGCAGCATGGAAGTAGATCTTTGAGGACCCTGCAGCCAGCCCACATCCTACTTCATCCCTTCCCTCCTCCCCACCGTGTGGCCCCAGGGCTTCCTTTCCCAAAGGTGCTCTAGCTGCTGATAGGCCCTCAGCTCGGAGCAGTGGTGAAGTTTAATTGGGGAAACAGAAGGAAACGGGTATGTTTGGGAACCTAAATCAGTAAGAGCAGATCTGGGTTTGATTGCCTGTGTTAGACCCCATGCCACACCTCATCTGTACCCGTGGAAGTTTCCTGTCTGACACAGGGTATCAAGGAGGGGCCTGGGAGACCTGGAGAAGTACGGAAGAGGTCAGTCCTGCCCCTGTCCTTCGTGCACGTTAATGAAATCCCAGTGAGGACCTGCTTTTTGTTTGTTTGTTTTCCTTTAAAACCCAACCCTTATTGTATTTGTATTTAAATTTGTACACATTTGTATAATAATCTGTACCTTGTGGTATTTGGTACTATTAGAGGAAAAACTTTGGATTCAGACCTTCTTGCAGTTTTTATATCATTGTTTTATTTTGTTTTTTAAATAAATTCTAGCGGTTTGATCCAAATCCCATTACAGTTGTATAAAGAAATAAAATTTTGTACTTATATTATTAAAAATCACATTTTTAATATTTTTAGTCCTGTCTCAGGTTATCCTTTCCCTGTTGCTGACCAGCTTGCTTTGAAATTCTAAAACCTGTCGTTTTTCACCTACATCGGACCATGATTTTTATTTTTAAAGACAAATCTCTGGAATAGAGGGCAACTTTCTGATCTTAACCATTTTTCTCACTGCCATCTTGCTCTGTCTCTATTAACTATTTACATTGCAGTCTCTCATGTTCTCTCCCTTGCAAACTAAAAACGAGCAGCTCTGATAAGAGAAGCCCTATTCACTGGTAAATGAAGTTGTGCGTGCGCTTCAGTGTTGGTCTAACTCAAGAAAATATCAGTCGTGTATTAAGGGTCACATCTAAATCATGTGCTTAACCATGATATATTTCATTGCTGTTTCAGGCCTGTCCTGACCTGATGAACGATGTTGGACAGGTCGTTTAGTCTTTATGGACGTCCACAGTCCTACCAGTAAAATAGCGGTAAGGTCCCTCCCGCCTCGCAGCCTGCGTGAATGTTTAGTAATATTGTGAACATTTAATACATGGACATTTGACCTCTCAAGGTAAAAAATTTCAATGCAAACACAAAGTGTTCCTAGTCCTGAAGAGGGAAATATTCAGTCAGTGGGAAGACTGACCTCTTAGAAAGAGGCTGTAAGAAAGAGACCAGTGCTGCTGAATGACTGTTAAGGAATGATTTGCATGTTTTCTCACAGTCAGTCCTCCCACCAGCCTCACGAGTTTTATCCCCCGTTACACATGAGACCAGTGCAGAAAAGTACTTTTCCTGAGGTCATACAGCTCGTACAGGGCAAAGCCACGAGCGGCACGCAGGAACAGCTCACCCGGGGCCTAGGCTCTCTTCTGCCCCGAGCCACTTGCAAAGTTGGATCCTCTATGGAATTCCTCCGAATCCTTCTCTATTATCTACAGTCCTGAGCACATGGTAGAAAAACTACCTGAAACTTCTTCATTGTTCAGATGTTCTCTTGTCCTGGCTGGCTTTAACTATACGGGCCTCGCCTTTCTCATCACACTTCTGTCTTCCAGCTGCGGAGGCAGAGGATCGTGACTTTTATCTAAAAGTACTTGAGGGGTGCCTGGGTGGCTCAGTCGGTTAAGCATCCAGCTCGTTGATTTCAGCTCGGGTCATGATCTTGTGCTTCAGGAGTTTGAGCTCTGCCTCAGGCTCTATGCTGATGCTGCAGAACCCGCTTGGGATTCTCTCTCCCTCTCTCTCTGCCCCACACACTCGCTCTCTCGTGCGCACTGTCTCTCAAAATAAATAAATAAACTTAATTTAAAAAATAAAAATAACAAAAGTACTTGAAGGATGTAATAGATTACATTTATGCAGAATGTGAGTCTTAGGGGACTTAACCATTTTTACCCACAAGCAGGCATTGATATCAATATTACTAAAACATTTAAAAAATTAAAAGCAGATTGTTTACTAACTGAATTTGTTCCTTGCTAGCAAACACTTTTTTTTTTTTTTTTTAAATAAGCTCTATGCCCAACATGGAGCTTGAATTCAGGATGCCGAGAACAAGAGTCACATGCTCTAACTGACCGAGCCAGCCAGGTGCCCCTTAGCTGACACTTTTTGGGGTGTTTTTTGTTTTTAGCAAACACTTAAAAACATTTTTTTAACGTTTATTTTTGAGACAGAGAGAGACAGAGCACAAGTGGGGGAGGGGTAGAGAGAGAGGGAGACACAGAATCCAAAGCAGGCTCCAGGCTCTGAGCTGTCAGCCCATGTGGGGCTCAAACTCATGGACCTTGAGATCATGACCTGAGCAGAAGTCAGACACTCAACCAGCTGAGCCACCCAGGTACCCCAGAAAACACTTGTAAAACATAGTTTTAATCAGTTTTGTACTACACTTAATGTTTGCCATTTATATTCCTTTCTGTTTGCATGAAGTTGATATGATTCCACTCCCCATTTGGGAGTATGGGGGGGGGGTTCATCTTTTTTACCATGAAGGATGCAACTTATGGCTGTTGCATTCTTGTCAATAAAGCCAAGATCTTCTGTCCACAACCACTTTAAACCAGAGTGGTGCAAGGAGGCAAAAACTTCAAGAAATCACCACCCAGCACGGGCATGTTAAAGCCTATGGGCTCCTAATGGAAGAATCCAAAAATGTTAAATACCATGTATACAACCAAGCAATATGCTCAAATGAAGAAAAACATGGAAGGTGCCTGACATGGAAGTCGCCCTAAATGTACATCCCACCCTTTATGGTCCAAATACCAAAGGTATTTGATTTAAGGTAGATTGACTTAAATTTTAATGTATCAGTCACTGTGCTAGACAAAAGTGGTGAGCAGAGTGGTGACATAGGATCCCAGCCATCACCGAGTAGAGGGAAACAGCATTTATGAATAGGTCTCCTGAGCATTATTAAAACACTTCAAAGCACAGGAGCACATGACTACTTAAAGTTTGTATTTTTTTTTTAAATGTTTTATTTATTTCTGAGAGAGAGAGAGGCAGTGTGAGCAGGGGAGGGTCAGAGAGAGAGGGAGATACAGAATCTGAAACAGGCTCCAGCCTCTGAGCTGTCAGCACAGAGTGGGGCTCGAACCCACGAACTGTGAGATGGTGACCTGAGCCAAAGTCGGACGCTTAACTGACTGAGCCACCCAGGCACCCCTAAAGTTTTTATATTGCACAGTAAAGATGTCAATCACTGTGTCAGCACAAACAGGTTAACATACAGAAGTGGTTAGGTCCTAATTTAGGTCTTCCATCATCCCAAATCTGTACTACTTACTAGCCTTCCAATTTAAAAGTCACAAATACGGTGATCATTTAAATATTAAAGCACCCTGCAGTAGTCCAAACTACCAATGTGGTTATTGTATCTTTTGGAATGCATGTGATGAAGAGAAAAAACATAACCGATAGATCAGATCTGATCTAATGTGTAGGCGCAATATTTAAAACATGGTACACAGGAAGGCTGAAAAAAGAGAATCCTAGAACGAGGAAAGGCCTTTGAAATTCATAAAATTTTTAACTTGGGGTCCACTGCTGTACTTCAGAGACCCCCAAAACTCCTTGAAGTTAAATTGTATCTTTTTTCTTCAGAAAGGCTTGTAGTTTTTCAAATTCTCAAAAGAGCTTGCAACCTAAAACAAAATGTATACAGTCCTTGATCTAATTCCAGCATGCAGCAAAAATGGAGGCTCGCTGTTTGAATCGCACAGTAAATTAATGACAGAAATGAGTCCCAGGGCCCACTTGTGACCCCATCTGTGTGCATTCTGCCACTCTAGGCTCTAGCCCGTTCCTCGCTACAATTCATGGAGTTGGTTCTGTGTCAAGGGACCCCAGTCCCCTGGTGCTGGCCTCTAATTCGAGGTAAGCGAACGCGGGCTGCAAGCCAGGTGCATCTTGCAGCAGGGAGACCTCGCCATCAGATAGGAAGAGCTCTGTCAGGGCGGGGAGACAACAGGCCAGAGATGCTGTCAACCCCAACGACGGGGGCGTTGTCATAGTGAGGTCCCAAGAGCGAAGACACTAGGGTGAGAACTGGTCCGAACTTGCAGTGTAACCTTACCCAAGTCATTTCCCTGCTCTGAGACCTCGTTTGACAAGCGTAGAGCGTTAAGTCACGGCCTTAAAAGGCATTGGGGGCGTGGCCTGCAGAGGCCACACACACCCTCCTCGTTCGCCCCAGCCCTACGGCGTGCGTGACGTCCGCAGGCGCCAGGAGAGGTGCGGTGAGGTCATCGCCCTCCGCCTCGGGGCTCCAGACCCTCCACGTCAGGGGCGGAGCCTGTATCCACGCTCTACACCCTTCGCTCCGCCTCCACGGGCGCCTCCTCGCGGACCGTCGGGCGCGTCACGTGACGGGTCGCCGGCGCTGGCGGTTGCTGTCAGCTGATTCCCCGGGTTGGTGGCTGGGGCAGCCGCGGCGATGGACTTTCTCCTGGGGAACCCGTTCAGCTCTCCGGTGGGACAGCGCATCGGTGAGTCCCCGGAGCCCCGCCGCAGGGCCTGCTCCCGGCCTCGGTCTCCCCGGGCGCCTCCAGGTCCCAAGTCACCCTCCGGAGGGACGCTTGGGGGGGAACCCGGCTGGCGTGTCTCTCTCGGACCTGTCCCCGCCCAGCCTCCCGCCCATCTTGATTGACAAAGCCGTCGTCCATTAGGAAGCTTCGACTTGTGATGGATGCCTACGGCAGCCAATAGCTACAAAGGGAGGGCGGGTCCGGGCGGCCGCGGCTCAGCCAATGTGCGGCTGCTGGGGTCGCGAATCCTAGGAGAAAGTTTTGGGGGTTGAAGGGGCTGCGTGGTTTTGCAATCCTTGAGTCCTCGCCTGTCTCCCTCATCGCTCCCCCAGCCCGGGTCGCGCCGCCTGGGCTCTTGCCGTCTCCTTCCTGGCTCGCCGGACTCTCCGGACACACACCGGAGAAGGGTTAGAAGTCCATTCTCCCAGGACCAGGAGACTGGGGTTTGGCGTCTGGGCGAGCAACTTGGCGGGGACGCGGCCAGGCAGCCCTGCTGCTCCCGGGGCCCGGCCAGACGCTGGCAAACCCGCGAGACCGGCAGCAAGGCGACCACACAGTCGCAGACTCCCCGAGCTGGCAGTGATCTCAGGAACCACCTGATTCCGCCTCCCGCGTTTCTCGGCACTCGGGTGGGCCGGGCACCCTGGCCGGAGGCACAGGCTTACTCAGCCCAGGTCTCCTGACTCTCCAGCGCCCTGTTGACTGCACTGACTTACTAGCTCCGTGACGTGGCCTCCTATTTCCTCACCTGTGATTAGGGGTATATTAATGGTGCTTCCGTGGGGTTGTTGTGAAGGTTAAACTCGTTAATCATTGTAAAATACTCAGAACCGTGCCTGGCATGTGGTCATTGCTATATAAAAGAACGTGGTAATATTTGTCATTATTGTTATTGAGATACACCAAGCGAGGGTCGGGAATACCTGGAAATAGCCGGTTTTATGGGTACTTCTTGCTCCCAATACAGGGAGGAACCCCATGTCCTGGCCCAAACAGCTAGTCCCTAACACTTCTCCAGGGACAGTCTGGATGTGCCCTCTGGCATCAGGAAGCTCGCCAGTACTGTTAACTTCTTCCTTCATCTTCTTGATGGGCCTTAGCATTAAGCCTAGACTAGGGAAAAAGGGATCTTTTAGGCTGTCCTGGAAGCCAAACCTCACTTAAGTCCGTCAACCCAGCCCAGCAGTATAATAGGTACCATGCCTGTGTGTGGCTCTTCTGAGGTTTTGTAATCAAATTTCTTCAAGAGGAGGCTGGCAAGCCAGGATTTATTTACACTCCAGAAAGCTCCTGGGCCAGAGAGAGGAAGCTGCTCTCCCAGGAGCACCCTCCCCGCTCTCTGCCACACACACCTCCCCATGAGTCATTGTTTTGGAGCTGAAAAGCTCTCCTCTCATCTTTATTTCTCCAGCAACAGATACCACCACTTTCATCACATGCCAAGTTTGAGACTTCCTACCTAAAAAAAAAAAAAAATCTGACCTTCAGAGTTGGCCACATTTTCCTGAAGCTTTCTAGAAAAGCTCACCTGGGCTCTGGCCCTTAGCTAGTCAAAGAAAGAGCTTCTCTTCTTATCCCCAGGGTCTCCTGCCTGTGGCAAGAAATACTCTGTCCAAAGAGAATACTACGAAGTCGTAATATCTTAGAGCCCAAACTAAATCTGGCTACTGGAAGGGTCCTTACCCTGGGCGTCTTACAGAACTCAGGGTTCTCATCAGGGTTCCCTAGAAGTCTTGTTAAAGACAGATAGATGGCTGGGGCCGCCTGGGGGGCTCAGGTCATGATCTCACAGTTTGTGAGTTTGAGCCCTCCGTGTCAGGCTCTGTGCTCACAGCTCGGAGTCTGGAGCCTGCTTCAGATTCTGTGTCTCCCTCTCTCTCTGCCCCTGCCCACCTCTCAAAAATAAATAAACATTAAAAAAAAAAACCACCCAAAAAACAGAGGGCTGGGCCCCATCCCAGAGTCCCTAACTCTGTAGGTCTGGGGTGAGCCCTAGGATTTGCATTTCTAACAAATTCCCAGGTGATGCTGATGCCACTGGATTGGAAACCACATATTGAAACGCTCTATAATAGCTCATCTCCTTTACACAGAAGGAGACAGAGGCCAGAGAGAAGGCGGAGACTGACTCACCCAGGCCCCCAGTGAATTGGTAATGAAGCTGTGATCAGTTCCCCAGAACCAGAGAAACTTGAACCAAAGCCGAGGAGCCTCTAAAAGTAGAATGAAATGAAAAATAGCTGCCATTTGAGCAATGCCTTTAGTCTTCCATAGGTTTCTTGTAGATAAGGAGATGGAGGTACTTCTGATTGGCTGTGATCACCAATGACGTAGTGTTTCTGGAAACTGCAGGAGTCAAATAATGTCAGGGCTGTTGACTCCACCCCCTCGCTGCGAGGGAAGCCCTGTAGAACTGGGGTCCCTGAGCACAGTGGGCTTCAGGGGTGAGCGTCACTCAGCTCACCAAGTTGTCATCCATCCGCACACCTGTGTGCTCACTGCCCCCTCGGCCTGGCATACCCACTCCAGCCTGCATCCTTCAGAGCTCAGCCATTCTCACCTCCTCCCTGAAGCCCTCCCTGAGCCCTGCAGATCCAGCCATCACTTCTGCGCTCTTGCATCCCCCTCGCTCCTTAGGCTTCTTCACTCTCTGCCTCTGGGCTCAGAGCCTCCACTTCCTCCTGAGTAGCATTAGCTACAACAGCATATACCTGCCTGGGTGGTCGTGAGAGGGAAGCGAGACAGTCCCCAGGAGGCGTGTGCGTGGGAACCATCAGAAACATCAGCCCTGGGGCGCCTGGGTGGCTCAGTCGGTTAAGCCTCCGACTTCCACTCAGGTCATGATCTCACGGTTCGTGGGTTCAAGCCCCGCGTTGGGCTCTGTACTGACAGCTAGCTCAGAGCCTAGAGCCTGTTTCAGATTCTGTGTCTCCCTGTCTCTCTGACCCTCCCCTGCTCCTGCTGTCTCGCTCTCCCTCTTTCAGAAATAAAGCATTAAAAAAGAAAGAAAGAAAGAAAGAAACATCAGCCCTTGCTATCATCACCATTGTTTTTATTATTTCCACTGTCGCGCACTTGTAGACCACTGTCCTGTTCTGTTAGAAGCTACGCATGTGTGTCTCCCCAGCTAGGCTAGGCTTCCTGAGAGCAGGGGCTGTACCTCACTTGTCGGGACCCTCAGCACCTGGCATGGTCCCTGGCCCATCGTAGGAGGGAAGACAAGAGAAAAGGAAAGTGACATTTGGTGAGCAAATACCACATGTCAGGGACAATGTTAGTATCCTAGTTATTAATATTCACAGTGACCCTACCAGGTTTTGCTATTTTTTTCCAGTTTTAACCAAAAGTAAGTGTGAAGGAGCATATCATTTCCCAGGGCGTCACAGCTAATCAGGGTGGGGATCTAGACCCAGGTTTCTCTGGCCGAGAGCCCACATCCTCCCCTACCCCTCACCACACTTATCTGGCCGATCAGTGCTTATTTGGAATTTACACCGTCCACCCCTCCAGGATCCACAGTTAACTGTTCTCCCCGCAGATTAGCCTGGCTGGTTACCATGTACGTGTGAGTCTGTACATTTGCAGGCCCCTCCGCCTTATCTTTTAGCAGGAGAGCTTCCCAAAGGCAGCAGCTGTGGCTGAAAGGATCCCAGATATTCGGTACTGGGTGGTGTCGACACAGCCCTCTCCTAGCAAAGATTTCAAAACCCTTTGCAGAATCCTCTGTGGACAGATCTTTTGGGTTGTTTTATAGACAGACGTCAGAAGGTAACCCAAGAAGCCCATTGTCCATTTCTGACTGTCAGCTTACCCCTGGACTGAGTCAGAGACCCATCTGCTCAGAAAGCAAGCTGCAGACAACAGACGCTGTGAATATGGGCAGTCCCTGAGGACCAGCCCCCACCCCCCACCCCCGTAGTCGGGGTGGGGATGCCAGTAACTGGATATGACGGGAGAGCTCAGAGCCTACGGCCGATCCCCGCGGTGGACGGGAGAGGGGCAGAAGTCAGGCCCAGCTGCCTTGGAGCCACAAAGGCCAAGCCAGGGGAGCCACAGGGAGGAATCACAGAGGAGAGACTCCACGTGTTAGTAGAGAGAGCGCTTGAGGCCCCCTGGAGTGCCATTTCGGGAGGATGGGGGGAGGGAGGAACTGGAAGCCAACCTGGCCACTACACTACGTCTCATTCCTTCTGTCTGTGACATGCCGCCGTCCTCCCTCTGCTTCCCAGAGCACTGCAGGGAAGGCTGGACGCGAGAGGGAAGAAAGGAGCTGACGGACGGCCTTGAGAGAGTGGTGGATTGGCTCCACGGGCCCAGAGGGCGGCAGCAGAGTCAGCCAAGCTGCACTCGGTGTTGACACACACGGCCCTGGCACCTGGCACAGGTGTTGCCGGCTCCCCACCGCTGGGGAGGTGAAGGCAGAGGCCATAGGGGAGGGAGGCTCTAAGGAGGACTCCCACACTGGCCGCCAGGGTGGACTAGGGCAGGATTTACAGACTTTCTGGAAGGGGCTAGAAAGAAAATATTTCCACTTTGGTGGGCCTGTGGCCCCCATGACAAGGGCTCAGCTCTGCCCTTACAGCATAAAAGCAGCATAGACCATGTGCAGGTAAATGGACCCGACTGTTCCAATGAGACTTTGTGTATGAGCACCATAAGGTAAATTTCATGTAATTTTCACATGTCCTGAAATCGTATTCTTCTTTGGATTTGTTTTCAACCATTTAAAAATGTGAAAACCACTCTTAGCTTAGTGTGTGGGCCAGACAAAAGCAGACTGAACAGGCACGTGGGTTCATAGTTTGCTGACCTCTGGGTCAGACCAGCTGGCCAGAGGCAGAATGATGGAAGGCAGCTTCTCCAGGGTGGGATCCCAGGGAACCCCACGTCTCAGATGCCTAAGGATGCTCCAGCCGTGGGCCCTCTGAGGCAGAATCCCTATCACTTCCCCCAGTGTGCTC